TAGCTTCCTTTCATAACCCATTGGTACCATTTGTATTGTCACCAGTTAAGGATGATTTAGGGCTCACTCACACATTTTTCAGGGGATGATTGTGCAAGAAATGTTGATATTTTCCAACTTTTTTGTGTGTGTCTTCAATTGTTTCTTCTTCAGGCTTTCACAAGGAAAATCTCTATCCCTTCCTCACCCTGTCCCCTGCCCCCACCAACACACTTCCACAGGCGCTTTGGGGCCTCTCTGTCCTGCCTTTCCCTTCTGGAAACCACTGAAGATGAGAAAAGAACTAAAGGAATCATGTCTCTCCTAGAGCAGATTTTCAGCTTTGGCCTAGGGTTGTTTCAAAGTACTGAGAGTTTTGGAGCACCTTTCCCCTTGGCAGGTGTGAAGGATTCACCTGCTTTGTGGCAACTTCCTGTTGTTCTCTACTGCTTTCCTTCTGGGCCCCTAGCATCTCAGAGACCTCAGGCCTTGAACAATTTCCCTGGGCTTCCGCTTTCCTTCAGAGGTCTTGTCATGGGGCAGTGGCAGCCACACTGTCCTCAGGGTGCAGGGGCTAGTGATTAAGTAGCCAGGTCTTTAGCTCCCATTCTTGTTTGTCATAACTTTGCTATTTTGGTCTCTGTGCCTTGTGGCTGCACCATGATTAGGGTTTGATTACTATCACCAAAGCGACTAAAAGATGAAAATAGAAGCCACAACAGGAAATAAACAACTGCAAATGAGATATTTTATTCCATATTCTCTGCCAGCAAATGATTAGAATCAAACTCATTCACAATAGTTTGGTAAGCTCCTAAACTTTTACTTTCTAAATTTTTGTAATGATCAGGTTGTCTGAAACTGTGTGCCTGGGTGTCTCATTTGTGCCTTGGAAGGGAAAGAGGGGACCTTCCTTTCTAGGCACAACAGCCAGGCAAAGCTTCTCTACCGCCTGCCTCCTGGCTTCTGGCTTTTTTCTTGGAAAGGAAAGGAGCAAGACAGTGATGGGGTGGGGCTGGCTGTCAGGAAGGTCGGGATGTTAACTGATTCAGGGGATGCCAGGGAGCCATAAAGCAGCACCAACTATTGCAGCTACTTGCCCAGCATCCCACCCACTTCTACCTAGGGGTAGTAAAATGGAAGAGGAAAGCCATATAGAGAGGGCAAAATAAGGGTGACGCCTGAATTAAAACACCCACAATTACACTAGATGGGAACATAGCTCTGCAAGTATATGCATGTTCCACCCAGACAAGCTGTGACGTCAGACTCAACTCTTGAAACACCCACTAAACCTACCTGCCCTGTGTGTGCTTTGGCCTCTCATCACAAAGGGTGTTAGCACCACTGGCCACATTTCCAGAAGATTCTTCTGATTCTCTGTGTGGTCAAGAAACCTAGAGTGATGACATTTGCTTTTTCTGTTTTTCTAATTCTTCTTGTCACTTTGTAGCCTGCCCTGATCTCTCTCTTCCAGGGAGACGCAGAACAGGGAGGGAACAGGACCCCGAGAGGCAAGACACCTGCCCAGAAAGCCTTGGGAAGCCTGCCAAGGCTCACCTAAGCTGAGGATCACTCATAGCACAAGTTGTTTAGTCAGTGAGTGGCAGAGTCCCAACCTGAAAGCAGGTTTTTTGACTTCTAGTCTGTTACTCTTCCTAAACCTTTCTGAGTGTATTATACATTTTCCAGATACCTCAAAAATCCCATGACCGCCTCCTCATGGCCTTTCCCTGTCTGTGATTGTGGTGTCACCCTTTCTCCATTCCCTTCTTGACTTTCTTGGTTTTTGTTTACCCAGGCTCCTTAGAATGTAACAAACACACACACTTTCAATGCCATTTCCAAAAAACAAGTTTATATACAATTGCAGCACTGGGAATTTAGCTCAGTGGCACTGAACCTGCCTCGAAAGCACAGAGTCCTGAGTTTAATCCCCAGTACCCCAAATATATATACAATTGCAGTTCATGTAGTCTTACATTCCGAATGCCACTTTCAGTCCTGTCCTGCACACATTTCTGCTCCGTGGCTTTCTGTCAGGGACCCCTTGACTGGATAGGATCACGTAATCAATGTTGTTGACTTTCTCTCATATTCATACCACCAAAGGTGATTTTGGTGGGATAGGGAAGGGGTCCAAATGGCCCCATAGCCGGGCGGGGCGGGGGGCAGTGCTGGCGACTGAACCCTAGGCCCCTGCTGAGCAGCAACCTAGCCCTTCAAATATTTAGTAAGCAGCTATTCATATTAGAAATCTTCTAAATTGCTGGAGAGGAGAGCACTGAGTTAAGATGTTTGATTCATATTTGCCTTTTTAAGGACATATTAACTTAGATGGGGAGATGAAAATAATACATTTCACTTTTCCTAAAGATTCTTTCAAATCCTCAATGAGTTTCACTGCTGTCTTAATCTCACAGTTCTTAATGACTTTTAAAAAAAATTCGTATTTCCATGACTAAGATGTGAGATTAGATTATCAAGCCAACTAGAGGCCTCCTCAATAATGATATGTATATAATATTTAAATACTGTAGTACGTTTCTCAACAGCAGTTTTCACGACGTAAAGGCACTCAGGTCCTTAGCCCGAACCAATGCCTTTCTCATTTCCTTGCAGCAACCTCCGTTTGGGGATACGTTCCTCTGGAACCTGAGGTCAACTGATAAACTTTCCGACCCTAAGCACCCGAGAAGGGTGCCGAAACCAGCCCCGCATGCAAATGAATGCCCTAGGCGGGTCAGCTCGCCGGGTAACCTTCCCGCGCCGGGAGGCGGGTGACGGAGGTCTTCCGGGCCCGGGAGGAAACCTGCCGGCGGCGCGCAGGCGAGGCCCCCTTACCCCCCTTCTCCCGCCAGGATGCTGCCCCTCGCAACTCGTCAGCCGGCCAAATGCATTCCAGAGCTGTGCACAAGAAACACTTCTCCAGGCAGTCCTAGAAACTGGAGCCCCGAGCGGGAGAGGGCGGGAGGGAGCGCGCGGCCGCCGCTGAGGTCACATTCGCGCCGCCTCCCCGCCCTCGGCTGCCCGGCTGTTCCCTCCAGCGCACACTTCCCAGGGCCTCGGTCCAGCCCGGTGTAAATGTCTTTTCAACAGAAACAGCGCTCTCTTCTTTCCCTCCGGCGCGGCCAAGGGATCCGCCGCCAGGGCCTTTAAAACAAAACGAATGAATGAAGCCCTAGGGCGAGCGCACTCGGGGCTGCCCCTGCGAAGCTCCGCTGGGTCTAAACAGGGCCACCGATCCGCTCGTTCCGCTCCAAAACTCGCCCGCGGTGCCCGCCCGGTGCTCTCGCTCTTCCAATTTCTCCTTTGCTCTAGCTAGGTCTCAGTCGATTCTGGAAGCCCCCCCCATACATTGGTCCCCTTTCTGCAGACCCGAGAGGGGTGGCGTTGGAGAGGTGGGGGGAGAAATAGCTTTTAGAAACCCGATCTGTTGTTTGCGAAACACAATCGCTCTTTTTTTTTTTTTTTTAAAGCGACAGGGTGTCTAGACGACCACGTGACGAGGCCGGAGCCGGGCGCGCCACTGCGCAGTGGAACCAGCCGAGCAGAGGGCCGGGGGGGGGGGGCGGCGGCGGCGGCTGGGGGCGGGGGCGGGAAGGGGGAAGAAGAGGGAGGGAAGGGGGCGGAGGCGGGAGGCCTTGCGGGAGGCGGTGAGCCCTGAGCACACTCGCTTGCTGCTCCGTGCACGGAGGTTCCTGTCCCCAACCCGAGCCAGCCGAGCGCCGTGCTCGGTCCACTTGCCGCGCCGGAGAGAGCTGCCCGAGACGGAGCCAGCCCGCCGGCGCCGAGCCCCCGAACGACTGGCCCCAGAGCCCCTGAGTGCGGCGCGGCGAGCCCCCGGCGGCGGCAGAAGGACCCAAACGCCGGGAGAGGGAAAACGGGGGACAAGGAGGCTCTTGGTCTCGACGAGGAGTCTCGTAAGGGGAGACGGTGAGAGGACACCCGGGCCTCCTGCCGCTGTAGCCGGGTCGGGGCGAGCTGCTCACGCGGGGAGCCTCAGCGGCCGACCGCGGCCAGGGGAGGGGGCACCGGCGGCCCCCGCACTGGCAAGCGGTTTGTGCCCTAGAGGGCGAGAGCGCGCGACCCGCCAGGGCCCCGCCGCCGCCTCGCCGCCCTCCCCCGCGCTGTCAGCCCTGCCGGGCGCAGCCGCCGCCGCAGCAGCATCTTCTGCCCCCGCCACCATCGAGGAAGTCCCCGCGGAGGACCTGAGCCCCTGGGAGCGCAGGAGGAAAGACCAGAGACTCCCCTAAGACACCCAGATGCGCAGGATTGAAGCAGCCTAGCCAAAGCTTTCTGTGGATTAAAAAAAAATACACGGTTTTTTTCTCTTTTTTTTTTTGGCAGAAGAAAAGGAGAGGAAGATCAGTGAGGCTCTGCAAGGGAAAAAAAGGGGGGATGTAACTCGTGGATACGTTTTTCCACCCTTCAAACATCTTGTTCTACTTTGTAAACATTTTCTTTTTTTAAATCCCGGCTCCAGCCAGACGCCCCCAGACCTCCAGAGGTACGAGGAGGTGGTGTTTTTCTTTTGGGGCTTTGCATATTAGGCTTTTAGGTTTTGAGAGAGGCTCCTTATTTCGCCAGACGTCTCATGCGGGGTGAAGTCCACTTGGCCCCCTCCCCCGAATCTTCGTGTGCACGGAATTCGAGGAGATCCGGTTACTAAGGATATAGAGAGAAAAAAATAAATCGCGTGCCTGCCTTTTTTTTCTTTTTAATTGCCTGCTTCTCCCCACCCCCAAATTAAGTTGATTAGCAAGGGGGAAAGAGGCTTTTTCGCCCCTCCAGCAGTCCAGCCGAACGCCTTTCATTTTTTGCCCCCGCGGATTTCTCATGTAGGAAGCCGAGGCTGGCGAGCCCGACAATCGGGAGCCACTGCGGGGGGGCCTCTTTTTGGGGAGGCGCCGGCGGGGGCAGGCTCGGCCGCCCCCAGGGAAGCGGCGGCCGCGTTCCTCCGGGGCGCGCCGGGGCCCGAGAGCCGCGCAGGGCGCGGGCCGCTCGGGGCGGGGCAGCCGGAGTGCAGGCCCCCGAACCCCGGCGGGCGCCTCCGGGCCCCAGCGCGCGCCCCGGCCTCCGGGAGACTGGCGCATGCCACGGAGCGTCCCTCGGGCCGCCGCCGCTCCTGCCCGGGTCCCTGTTGTTGCTGCTGTCGCCTGCGCCTGCTGCCCCAACTCGGCGCCCGACTTCTTCATGGTGTGCGGAGGTCATGTTCGCTCCTTAGCCGGCAAACGACTTTTCTCCTTGCCTCCTCGCCCCGCATGTTCAGGACCAAACGATCTGCGCTCGTCCGGCGTCTCTGGAGGAGCCGTGCGCCCGGCGGCGAGGACGAGGAGGAGGGTGGAGGGGGAGGCGGAGGAGGCGAGCTGCGGGGAGAAGGGGCGACGGACGGACGGGCGCATGGGGCCGGTGGCGGCGGTGCCGGCAGGGCTGGCTGCTGCCTGGGCAAGGCGGTCCGCGGTGCCAAAGGTCACCACCATCCCCACCCCCAAGCCATGGGCGCCGGCGCGGCCGGGGGCGCTGAGGCGGATCTGAAGGCGCTCACGCACTCGGTGCTCAAGAAACTGAAGGAGCGGCAGCTGGAGCTGCTGCTCCAGGCCGTGGAGTCCCGCGGCGGTACGCGCACCGCGTGCCTCCTGCTGCCCGGCCGCCTGGACTGCAGGCTGGGCCCGGGGGCGCCCGCCAGCGCGCAACCCGCGCAGCCGCCCTTGTCTTACTCGCTACCCCTCCTGCTGTGCAAAGTGTTCAGGTGGCCGGATCTCAGGCATTCCTCGGAAGTCAAGAGGCTGTGTTGCTGTGAATCTTACGGGAAGATCAACCCCGAGCTGGTGTGCTGCAACCCTCATCATCTTAGCCGACTCTGCGAACTAGGTAAGAAGTTGTCCCCTGTTTACCTCCCCTCTCCCCCCGCAAGGCGCGCAAGTGGCGGAAGAAAAGTATCCTCGGGCTGAGTTTGTGTAGTTGCAATCACCTCTCCAGGGGGACCGTACATCCCCCTCCTGGAGTAGACGTGGGGACTAAGGCCGAGAAGGGTCAGGGGAAACTCGAAGGGCATTCCTTGGGGATTCCCTTTAATGCTTTCTTCCTCTGTCGCCTAGAGAGTGTCCTTGGGCACTGCTCGTGCACAGATTGTACGGATATGCGGCTAAAAATTAGACGCATCCATTTCCGGATCACCAAGGGGGTGCAGAGGGAAGTGGGGGGTCACGCCTCCCCCGCACCCGGAAAGGCGATGAGGTGTGTGGCCGAGTTGGATTTGGTCCAAGCTGGCCAAAGAAGGCTGGGAGAAGCGAGCTATACGAGTTGAAGAGTCCCCACTCCTTTAGTAAATACAGAAAGTCAAGTCGGGCATAAGTGGCCCAGTTACTGCTCTGGCCTCGTTGCTTTGGAGTTTAGGAGGTAGAGGATTAGGATGGGAGGCCGCACTGGGTACTTTTATCTTTGCCAGCCCCAGGGTGAAAAGGAATGAGCATCCAGGAGAAGTCGGATGCCTTTCCTTTTCCCCTCTTTCGAACAGAAAAGCGTACTACTAATGCTGTATGCTTTTTTTTTTTTTTTTTTTTACCCCCAAAGTCTCGTTGACGTTGCAGCCCCAGGGCCCTGGGTTTTAAGGCGGAGTCCCCTTTTATCTTCCTACATTCTCTTTTCCTTGTCTTTATGCTCAGTGTGTGAGGTTGTGTAGCCCTCCGGGCGCCCGCAGATTGCCCCAAGTTCACCAGTACATTAGGGGCGCATCTTCCAGGAGAGGTGGGAAGGGGGAGCCTTAGGTCTTGAGGGCGGATGCCCCGCGGAGCGGCCGGGGACCGAGGTGAATCGCACTCGGGGGGGGGGGGGGGGGGGGTGGGGGGGGGGGGGGGGGGGGGGGGGGGGGGGGGGGCGGGCTGGGGGGAGGGCCGGAGCAGCGAGGTCTGGAATTACAGGATGGGAAGGGGGCCCGGTCAACCCCCGCCCCTTGAACTATGAAGTGCTCGGCCGCGGCCGAACCGGTGGTTTCCAGCCCGGCCCGCTGAGCGCTGCGGCTAGGGCCGCAGACGTGGAGGAGCGGAGAGCCGAGGCTGGCGCCAGGCGGCCTCTTTTGTTTATCTGACAGCTAAATATCAAGGCAATCACCGCCTCCCGGCCCTGCCTCCAACCCCCACAGCTAAGACAAACAGTTGGGCTAAAAGAATGCCTCTGTTATCATAAGTTTCTATCTCTCTTTCTCATGGCTGGGTCCTTATACTGTCTTACTTTTTTAATTCCAGAGTCTCCCCCTCCTCCTTACTCCAGATACCCGATGGATTTTCTCAAACCAACTGGTGAGTAGATAATTTTCAGAATATTTCCTGTCTTAAGTTTAGAACTGGAACCTCTAGAGCCCGGCCGGGTTTTTGTGTCTGTGGCGCCCGTGGGAGGTGCTAGGCTGGCTTAAGTCTCCTCTGTTGAAAGTTTGGTAAATTTTTGTGTTGTGGCTGGATTTTTTTTCCCCAAAGACATTTCCTAGATAATCCTTTACATTTTGTTCCTTTTTATGTATTTGGACTCTGTGACCAAACTTAGCTCAGCGCTTTAGCACATGGAGGCTTTAATCCATGCCAAATAGGGCAGGTTGATGGGAAAATTTGGAGACTTTGTAAGTACTAGAAGAATTGGGGCAGAATGGAAAGGGTGATGAGATGGAAGAGAAGACAGTTTCAGAAGGGGTGCGGGGGGGTTTAGTTTGGTATAAGACACTAGAATGTTTAAGCTTTGTCAGCAAATAAAAGGGAAGTAGGTTGCCCCTCTCAGTCACCTACCATTCAGTCCTCTTAGGGTTTTCTCACAATTCTTGGTAGGGGCCATAAAAGTTTTTAGCATAGCTTTGCCTGCCTGTTGCTTTGTCACTGGCTGGCATGGGGCCAGAGCAGAAGCCCATTTGAGACTGGCACCAGCCCTGTTGCGGTTGTCTGCATTCAACTTCTGGCAGGCAGCACAGAGAGGCCCATCATTTGGAGCTGACAGTGCCAGGGGACAGGGTCAGCAAAACAGATTGGGGATAACAGGAGGGACAAACCCTGTTTCCTGGAGCCCCTTCTTACAGTGGGAGCTCATTTGCTGAAAAGTACAGATTGTAACTTTGGTTTTGGTGCCTGTATGCTGGTGCCTGAAAAAATGTAATGCTTGTGACATTTTTATTTTGGCAAGGTTCTGGGAGAAGGAAAAGTGAAGGGTTGGGCACCATTTAGCTCCTGGAATTCTCTAAGTCCTTCCGCCTCATGAGTTTTGGCTGTTGGGCCTTTCCCCCCACTAATTAAAAGTTTTGCTGGGGCGTTGTCATAAATTAAATACTTTAATGAACGTGTAACCGAAGCCCATGCTCTGCAGCCAGCCCTCCCGGGACTCCAGCTCTCTCAAGTTAGGAAGGCGTTCCTGCTTGCCTGGTGCCTGTCTAATAAGTGGCCTGCGAAGCATGTGATATTTTGCTTTCGATTTACAAAACAACAGATAAATGGTCATTAATGAGGAGATAACCAGCTCTCTGTATTTGTAACAAAAGTTAACTGGCATTACCAAGCTCTGTTTTCCTAGAGAATGTTACCTTGCTGGAGCTTTTGGCTTAAAGAAACAAAAATTGTTTTGTGAGGTTAGTTCTCCAAGGGGAGAATTAATTGTTTCATATTCTTCAAATTTGGATGTTTTCCCTAGAAGAAGCAGAAGTCCCCATGGCCCAGGGGTAAAGACTATGGGGCAAACGTTCCCCTGAATCATCCAAAAACCATGGAAAAGGGCTATGTTTACTTGGGTTTATTGCAAAGATACTGGGATAAATCTGTTCACAGAATTTAAGCAGTTATTCTGCCAGGCTGGGACCTCATTTTCGGTGAGTGCAGTGATACATTTATTCATTAGCAAGTGTTGACATTAGGTAGCAAAATGTGTGTAAACAGAGAAGCCACAAAGACAGGAATGTGCCATTTCCAAGGGAGTGGGGGAAAGAAATGTTCTTCAAGTCATCCAATAGGAAGTGATTTAACCTGCCAATAGGAAATCCAAACAGCTGGTTACTCACCCAAAACGTTTTGTTTAAAACAAAGCAAAACAAACAAACAAAAAAGGGAACAAAAAAAGGCAATGTTGTGTAAGACCATGAGGGTGGTAACAGATGAACCCCCCCCCCCCCCCCGTGAGAGGAATGGTCTGCTGGGTGGACAGGTCTGGGGCTGGAGGGGCACAGGGACAGGTTTGGGGCTGGTTTTGCTGGCAGCTGTGGCTGGGATGTTGCGGTTAGAGGGGAGTGGTGCTGCTTTGGCTTTTTATGCCCACCTAGGGCTTGGAGGAGAGTGTTGTGTTGGGCCTGGGAATTTACATTCTTAAATTGCTAAGCCTCAGGTTGAATTTTTGGTCTTGGGTTACTAGGTGAAACAGGCAAAAGGCTTTACAGTGGGCAACTGTTAAAATCTTAACCAGTTTCACAACTAAGGGAATCCCTTCATCAAAGTCTCCAACTTGGGAAGAGGCCATGGGAGGGGGGTGGGGCACTGGCTGGCTAAAGCTGGAGGAGGTCTGTCTTGCAATGGTTTAAGCTGGCCTGCTGCAGCCTCTGGCAGGGCCTGGGTTTTGTGTAGCTGGTACTGTGAGGTCCCTTAGCAGAGTCCTCTGCAAAGGAGTGTTAGATGTGCCTGACCCTTAGGGCAAGGTGGCTATGACTTGTGGCTCTTTGCAGTCAAGATGATAATCCTGCCTCCCCATCCCAAAAGAATTAAGAATTCGCTACTGGCTATTAGATCTCAGTTGATGGTGTGGAAATGATGAGTAACTGGGTTCTGCTTCCTGTGTGTGCTGTATCTGTTGTCTGAAAGGTTTGAAGAATAGCTGGGCTGAGGGGGATGCATGTTGAGTATCCTTGGGCTGGGGAACCCAGGTGGCCAGTGCCCATTGGATTGAGCATCCATAGTTTAGTGGACATCTTGACTGGAGATCTAGCTTTGTTTTTGTCTCTTAACTTAGATCTGTTTTAACGTTTCCAGGTTTCAAAAAGTCCATGTGTTCAAAGAGTTAACAGATGATCCATTCATTTACTGGATTATTGTATTGGTTCATTCATTCATCATTGGTTGATTCACAGGTGGAATGATGTGCCTGCCCCAAAACTGCAAGGTTTCCAACACAGTGCAGTGTTCTTCTCTGACTACGGTTCCTTTGAATTAGGTTGAGGGATATATTGATGGTAGTGGTGTTGTTGGCAGGCTTCCCCTTACTTAAGGAAGCTCCGAACTAGGTACTTAAAGGAAGCTCCAAACTAGGTACTTAAAGGAAGCTCCAAACTAGGTTGGGTAAGACTGCCCTGGCTCTCTGGGTGAGAGCAGCTTGATGAGACTCTCAGAAGTTCAAGCTGTGGTTGTTTCCCTGGCTTGGGTTTTCAAAGGCTGTAGGAACCAACCTGTGTTGGAACAACTGAGAGAAGGGGATGAGTCTTTTCTCCCACAGGACCTTGCCATTACAGGGTGCTTGGTAATAGTGGTGGATGAAAGCCAGGAATGGCCTAGCGATGCTAACTTTCTGCCAGCCTGGGCTCTGGGGAGCAGGAAGCAAGAGAGAGGCAGAGATGAGACCCTGACTTTAGAGAGATCTGTCTTTGTGGAATTTTTTTTTTTGTCTTTGGAATTAAAAAAAAAAAAATTTTTGTGGGGATGGTATGGAGGCCTGAACCCCCTGACCTTTAAGGCCTTAGCTAGAGGCCACTCAGTATGCTGAAGATTGTCACAGCCTGGCCACCTTCCTGGCCTGCCTCTGGGGAGAGAGAGCCATGGGATGATATAGCAGCTGTACTCTGGGGAATAGCCCACCTCACTGGGTGGCCCCTTGAACTGGGTGCCTCAGTTTACCTGGGTGCCTGTGAAACATGTATACTTTTCTACCTCACAGGGTTGGTGGGGAAGCCTAATTAACGTTTGTAAATCCCTCCGGAGATCAAAGGCACTGTAGAAGGGCAGAGCACCATTTCATATGCTTGTGGTTGCCAGCACGGAGCTGGCTTACCTTTGATGTGAGGCAGGCTGACACCCTGCCTGTGGCCTCAGCTCTGCCCGGAGAGGCCAGGCTTTTGCTTTGAAACACACCTTGCCCTGGCATCCAGCCAGCCAGAGCTGGGGGGAGTGGCTGTGGATAAGTCATTGTGTTTAATGTGGGGGTGTCTTCCGTTTGGGGAGTGGGTGGAGGAGAGGGATGAGAAGCCCATCTCTAAAAAATGGTGAAGGCCATCAGAGTAGTTTAGAAAGTGCAGGGCATACACCATTTAACAAGTAACTCCATTTCCTCCCTTCCCCTATTGTTTTCTATTTGATTTAAGTGTATCCTGTAAAGCTGTATATTCCTGTTAGGAATTATACTCTACCCTGATGAAATGAGATTATACACACAGACTTCTCTATCCTGCTTGCTGCCACCACTTCTCCGCCTACTCCTCTTAAGAGAGGTCTTTTTTTTCCTTCCTATTTTGCATTGTTGGGGATTGGACCCAGAGCCTGGAGCTTGCTAGGCAAGTGTGTCTACCACTGAGCTGCACTCCTAGCCCAGGAGAGGGAGGAAGGATTAGAGAGAGAATCTCAGTATCAAGGAGACAGACAGAATCCCAGAGACAGCTGGGGGCTATGGTGTAGTTTAGGCTTGGCCGCCTACCCTTCCTTTGTCAGGTACTGGAGGCAGTGATTACCAGTCAAGGGCTCCTCTGCCTGGGCTGCTGGCCTCTGGATTGCTCTTTGATTTGGCTTCCTATTTGCCTATGCTGCCAAGGTGCTGTAGTTGGAAACCGGTATTGTACCCCAAGGGACATCCAGCTAGTGGCCTGGTGGCCTGGGGTGGGAGGACTGCAGTCTGCAGGAACTGACCTGGTGTGTTTGCTGGGGAGCTGTGGAGTGCCATTCCTGAGTCAGGCTTTCTACATAGGCTTCAGGAAGTTTAGCATTGGCAGTGGTATGTGAGGAACTAAAAGGGTCTTGTGTATTTATGTAATCAGCTGTGGTGTTCTTTTATTTTAATTGCTTGGAGGGTGGTTGTAGAGTCAGTCTATTTATCCTCATTAACATTAAGGTCGCTGTGCTGGACACCTGAGGGTGACAGAGAAGGCAAGGAGAAAGCTAGTCAGAACAGACAGAATCTGACAGTAAAAGATCAGTGAAGACAGCAGACTGGGTGCCAAAAAGATTTATAAGGCGGACTTGTGACGGGGAAGGTTTCCAGAGATAGAGGGGTTTGGACCAGTCTGAAAGCAGGACCCACCCCCCGCCACCCCCACCAAGTTTCTGTCTTGATCTGATGGTACTTAGGTGCATATATGAGTAAAATTTAGTGAGTTCTCTTGAAATTTATATAGCTTGCTATACTTTTGGTTTTTGGAAGTAGGGTCTTGCTGAGGCCAGGGTTAGGCTGGCCTCAAACTTGCAGTCCAGTGTGTTTGCTATAATAAGTTGTACCTTAATTTAAAGTCCTCAAAAACTGGGAAGTTTTAAAAGATGAGGATGAGCTGGGTGTGGTGGTGGACATCTTTGATACTAGCACTCTGGGAGGCAGAGGCAGGAGGATCACAAGTTCAAGCCTAACCTGGGCAACTTGTGAAGGCTCTGGGTTTAAACCCTAGTGGGGTTAGGTGGGGGGAATCACAGTGAAACCTTCTAGCTGGAGCCATGTATTAAAAATGTGCCTGGAGGGGAGGCTATAGAAACTGCTTTTTGGTTTGGTGCCAGTGGTTGAAGAGCACAGAGAAGAAAACTATGGGTGTAGCAGAGAAGCCAGAACTTCTAAGCCAGGAGGATTTTTGCCCTTGGTGAAGGAAGGAAGCCAGAACAACCAGGGTTAAGAAAGTACACCCAGGGCCGGGGATGTAGCTCAGTGATTTTTCTGCCTGCTGTGCAAGCGCAAAGACCCGAGTTCGATCCCCAGTACCAAAAGAAAAAAGAAAGTATACCCAAAGCCTTGACCTTGGGAACCACCTGGTCTCCTCAATGGGGGACTTGTAATACAAGAGAAATTCCTGCTAGTCTGTGATTGAGCCTGACTTGACTAATGATTAACTAGCTGCCTGGAGGCCTGACGGGTGACAAGGTGCCGTGGTCTTTCTTAGCATGGGCAGTGCAGCCGAGCAAACCGGTAATAGTCTGCGTCGCGGCCACAGGTCAGCCTCTTGGAATGTGTGGTCTCTCTTTCATGCCCTTTAGAATGTGCGTAAAGACAGGTCTTGGTGTTTTTATTTAGGTATTTATTTCTCTCCCTTTTTGAATCCACAGCAGACTGTCCAGATGCTGTGCCTTCCTCCGCTGAAACAGGGGGAACGAATTATCTGGCCCCTGGGGGGCTTTCAGGTAAGATGCTTTGCCTTATTTTCCTGGCAGTTCCAAAGGTTTCTAGAAGTTGCCATAGACTGAGGGCTGCGCTGGGATTCATTCTCATTTTTATGTGCCTTAAACTGGATGGATTCATTGGGTGACTCTGGTGCCCTTCTGCTTGTCCTCCTGTGGTCCTGTATGAGTCAGAACCCCAGGCCCATCCCATGCATGGGGAAACTGGAGCCAGCTGGGGGATGGTTTTGTGCAAGACATGTTTTCATGGTTATTTTAAGCAGCTTCTGGCTCGAGGGACTTCCACTTGGTGACTTTGGTGTCATGAACTCATGCATTTAAGCTCTTTTTTTTGCTCTTGCCCTTTGTGCATGGGATGCCTTGGTCAGAAAACTTGTTGAAGACAGATCCCCAAGGGCAGGACAGAGCTCAGAGTGGATCTTGAAGAGTGGATCTTCCCTCCAAGTCCTGATTACCCTTCCAGCTTTGTGCATGATTCTCTAGCACATGTCCAGGGAGGGGGTGTGCCAGGGCAAGGGACTTTGCAGACAGTAGGTGCTATAGCTGCTTCCCAACAAGGTCCCCAAGGAACTCACTGGCAGTGTAAGTGGGAGGCATTGTATTCTTTTCTAAAGACATCCTGTTTCTTCCTGTTTTCCTCACGTCATTAGATTTTCTTTTTTTTTGGTATTGGGAATGGAACTTACTTGGGTCCTGTACTTGTGCAGCAGGCGGCAAAACCGCTAAGCTAAATCCCCGGCCCCGTGATTTTCTAAGAACTAGCTGAAGCAAGAGGGAAAGTGACCTGGGGGGAAAAATTCAGCTACAGTTCTGGGTGTTAGGCATGTTTTGCTCAGGGCCACTGGTGTAAGTAAGGTCATGGTGTAGCAGTTCAGATGGAAGCAGTACAACTGTTGTGTGCTTCTTTTGTGGGGTGACCCCCTTGACTAATTGGTCAAGCATTGCTGCCATGTGTGATTCAGGTATGTTTCATCTGGACAGTCCCCTCCAGGAATTGATTTGCTGAGAATGTCTGTAGGGAGACCCTTGTTTGTTTTGGTTTCAGTGCAATATATACTGTTATCTGAGACAGAGGGTATTGTTTACTCAAAGCTTCTAATGAGAAGTAGGCAGGAAAAAAGGGACCCCAGAGGGGAGTAGACTTTGGCAGGGGACAGAGGACCATAGCGATTGAGCACTTACAATGTGTGGCTGCATCATCTGCGCTTTCTAAGGCCAAGGGAGTTGAGAGAGTTCTTGAAAGAAAGGAGGACGAGAAGAAAGAGCCTCAGCAAAATAACACACTCAGGATGTTGTTAGATGGTTTTATTTTTTAAACCCTGGGTGTGCAGGGAGGAGTCTTGGCCCCTCCAAACCACATGAAATAAGCAAGGGAAGTGGTAGCTTTTGAAAGGGGCTTTTCGGAAGGTTTGTCTTATTGATAACATCTTGTCTGTCTCCTCTGCTGGAGGAAATGACGACACCAGGCGGAGCCACCAACCTGAGCCACTGCCTGAGCGCCTCCTTGCCCAGCCACCGGGAGCCAAACAGTGTGACCTGGGCAGCCCTTCTGAGATGGATAGGCTTTGTGCTCTCCAAGCTCTTCCAGTCCTAGAAAGAAAGTGTGTGTGTGGGGGGAAACAAGCATTATTGACTCTTTCAGTCTCCCATGGTAATTGCAGCCACTTAGATTAATGAGGAGTTCCTAAGGCGGTGTGGTGTGTATCTCTGAAGGGGTGACATGGTTTAACAAAACGGCAAAAAGCAGAAAAAAGTGGGGGGGCTCCACATGAAAGAGCATTTGTTTTGAATTTTAGCTCTTGATTTACTAATTCCCAAGGCTTCAAAGTTGGAGCTCTTTCTTCTTTCCGTGTGTAGTTGGAGCCATGTATTAATAATGTGCCGCTGAGGGAGGTTGTGGGAACTGCTTTTTGGTTTGGTGCCAGTGGTTTGGGGGTGTCCAGCAGAGAGTTGAAAAGCACAGAGAAACGTCTTTGGAGTGGGATCCACCCTAAAAGGTGATTTTTCTGGTTGGCTAGGCCAGGGTAGAGGGTTTTTTAAGTAGAAAGCTAAGACCTCTTTTTCAAGAAGTTGGTGGTTCCTGAGGGGTGGGCTGGGCCTCATCCTCTTCAAGGATGAGGCCCCGGAGGTGCAGTGACAGGACCCCTCAGGGGAAGAGGTTAGCATAGCAGATTCGAGGGTGAGGGAATACCTAGGTCTTGCTTGGGGAGCAGGAAGGACATCAAGGTGGGCAGCACTGAAAACACCCACAAGGATTTCTCTTTCCCCTCCCTTGAAATAACCTCTCTGAGTCTCTTTCACAGGCCCTGTGTGCTGTTTTCCTTCCTGTCCTGCCCTGGCTGAGACCAGGCTTAATGAATGGGGCTCAGTTTAGGGTGGGAGGAAGGTCGGCAGCGGGAGCCAGGGCTTGATTCTCTTGGCAAGGGAAGAAGGGAAAGAAAAAGCAGCCAAATGTGAAAATGTGGTGCCTCGGAGGTGGGGGTAGGGTGTGCTCAAAGGCCTTATCCCCTCCTGAAACTCAGGGGTAACTCCAAGGCTGGCCCTTCCCTTTCCTGCGCCCTTGTAGATGGCCAGCCTGGGAGGAAGGGGAGTGGGTGGGTAGGAGCTCTGCACAGCACTGCTGGCTGCAGGCTGGAATTCTAGCCCTGCCACTTGGTTCTGGGGGGAGGGCCAGGAGGCCTGGTCCTTTGGGACTTGCAGTGAAACACACCCCACCCCTGCAAGCTTCCCCAGTCTGGGAAAACGGGACATTTTTAGAAGGCAATGACTTGGTTCCAGGAGATTGTACTTTCATTTCTGACAGCCGGCTCTCTGAAACAGATGGATTGCTCTGTGGAAGCATGCTTGTGCGCGTTGCGTGTAGTGTGTGCGTGCGCGTGCGCTCCTGTGCATGGCTGCAGACATACAGACAATCCTGTTTGCAGACACCTGAGCACACAGATGCCTACAGGCAGGCTCTGGGCCAGTCTGGGGTCCCTGTCCCAGGAGATCTGTCAATGTCAGGGCAGCCTCTTCATGAGGATGTGGCAGGGATGGTATTTGTAGATTGATTCTAAACTATGATTTGACAGACTGAGTTCAGCTGTCTGGGTATGGGGAACTTCAGATCAGGCTCTTGCTGCTGTTTGGACATGTAAGTGTCGTGGCTTAGGAAGATCCACCTTGGCGCAAGGTCTGACATAACTGGGAAGCTTCTAGGTTCAGCTCAATGGTGGAAAAGGAAAGGATTTGCTCCCAGAGCTTTCATTGCATCGCTAGTAATGAAAAGCATGTGTTCAAAGCTGTCATCTTTGCAGCCTCCATCTGGAGTTTCTGGGGGGGCTTCCACTTCGCCTGCCTGCTGTCCTGGTTTGTGTGGGGAGAAGAAGGAGCAGCATCTCACTTGTTCTAGGTTACTCAGATGCAGGCTCATCCTCCGGCTGCCTTCTTGAGACACAAATATCTGGGTGCCACTGTCTGCACATCAGCGCTGTGGACCTGCCCAGTCAGAGCAAGATTGGGAGGACAGCAGTCATTTCTTATTTCACCTTCAAAAGAGATGTCCCCATGAATTTCAGGAGGGTGTTGGAGCTAAAATAGGGTCTGAGAGATGGAGAAACTTCAGCTCTTGTCTTGGAGCCATGTTTTTTTGGAGAGAGAACATCCTTCCAACTTAAGGGAGGCCACTTCTTTGCTAAGGTCTTAAGGTCCATGGTTAGGTTTTGGTTCTCAAGTCTGGAAGAGTGTCCTTTAGTCAGCACCTGTGTCTCCTGGTCTTTGATCCCTGCTGGCATCTGTCTTTGCCTCAGAGAAGAGCCCTCACAAATATCTGTATAATCTGAAAATGCCACCCTGGCTTAGTTCATGGCCAACTTGGGTTCAAAGCAAGTAACTTAGGAAAGACTGCTCCATCATGTTTTAAGAAAAGTTATATAATGGCATGGGAACAGTTATTTATTGTCTGGCTTGAAATTGTGATAGCAACTAGGAATCTGGGACTGAGTGCCTGTTGCAGTGTTTTCAGTACCCGCTCTGTGCTCCCAACAAGTAGCTTCTGGTTTCACTGAGGTGCCATGGGGTGGGAGGCATAGGACAGACTGAGCTTGCAATTGAGTTGACCTTTCATCCAAATGATAAGGAACACAAGCTTTGGGGAAATCAAATGAGCTGGAACAGAACTTCTTCTTGCCTCCCAGTACCTGGCCCGCTGTGAGAAATAAAGGTCTGGAACTTCAGGAATGTAGTCTGAATCTTCTTAAACCAAAAACTAACATAATGACCTTGGGCTGGGGCAGGCTCCTCTGGTGCACTTCCATACTCGTGGACAGCAGCTCAGGCTGTTTGTTGGCCTCTTCTGTAGTGCCTGAGGTCATGTACCCACCCTTGGAGAAAAGAGTTTCTTTGCTCCTGGAAGGAATGAGGCAATCAAGCAGGGGTTAAATGCAGGGTGACAGCATAAAGTCTGTGGAGTAAATTTGAGCTGCTCTGCTGGCCAGACTAGATGAGCTGCTGCCTTATGCATCCTGTCCCCAGGCAGAACTGGGCTGGCCAGTGAAGAGGGAGGGGGCCCAGGGGAAGGCCAGGTCCCAGTGGTGTAGTTTTTGGCTACAGTCAGTCTAGCACACTGACTCTCCTGAACTCCACTTGGGCCTTTTCTCAGCAGAGTCTGGCTGTAGACTTCGGAACCTATGGGGCTTCTGGCAAGCTCAGAGCCAGGGGCCAGTGAAAACAGAGGAAATGTCAAAGGATTCGTGATCAAATTGGGCTTCCTTTGCTTCTTTATTGCTGGTGTTACTTATTGCATAATATTGCTCCTTGCAGTATTATGGTGTTTTTTGTTTTTTTTTGGTAACCGGGGATTGAACTTGGGTCTTTGTGCTTGCACAGCAGGCAGTGAAACCACTGAGCTAAATCCCTGGCCCTCCTTGCAGTATTATGATGGCCAGGCTGCTCTTTGTTCACTTTAGTCTAGGGCCTTGAACTTGCAGCAACACCTTTGAAATAGGTGTCTTAGGGCCTGGGAT